TACATTTGTGCCAGCCGAGTTGGGAAATCTGTTAAAAAACACCAATTTGTCTTAAAAAATCAGTGTGTTTTCTTATGCATCTTCAAACTAGACTAGTTATGCTAACTGATTACATTGTGAGAATTTATATTTTTATTATACTTTTTCTCTTCAAGTTTGCAAGGCCAATAGTACCCGTAGTTAAAGAATCACTCCTAAATATCTTTAAGCCTGGCCTAGGCCTATAACTTTAATCATGGAAGCTGCACATTCTTCTATGCCTGAGGCCCCAGGACTCCATGCTGCTCCACAGAACCCAGTTTCTAGTTCCAGCTCCCAGTCTGGTACTGGGAACCATGGAGCTATGGGCTGAGACAAAAACTAAGCTGGAAGTGGATCTGAAATAATCAGTAAATAAAATGCTGTTCCATTAACTTCAGATGGAGGCTTTTCAGGAAAACATCTACAGAAATCATTTGAATCTTAGTTGATCTAAAAAAAGTAAAGTTATTTTAGATTTCATGTTTGACAGGAAGAAGAGGGATGTTATTGATCTGATTTGGCCTAAAACAACTTGCCAGAAATGGAAAGTAACAACCGGTAGTTACATTTACTGCTGTAACTTTTATAAAATAATTCGCTTTTATGAGTAGTTTTACTCACTTCCTGAGTAAATGTTCTTGTTCCTCTACACACCATGAGGAACTGGACCTATTGGAGATCAGGTGAAAATACAGAAAAGAGTCGATATTTTAGCTGTTTTTTTGGAGTTATATTTACTTCCACGTATGCATTCCCTGCTGTAAAGATTGGTCTATAAGTTTATGTTGAAATAATGTTAGTTTCTAATCATGTTATTTGGATTGTATTTAATTTTACTTTTAAATATTAGAATTTGCTCATAACTCTGTCCGATTCTCTCATTCTAAACATTAAATCAGATGTTTAGAGCCCACAATTACTTGGTATTTTACTGTAGTACCGTTTTTGATATTTTATTTCATTTATAATTCAAGTGTATAAGTGATGTGATGTTTATGGTGTCTTGTGTTTGAATTATTTTAGGGTCCTTATTATTTATTTGCTTGTGCAATGGTGCTCCATTTTATGGTTTGGCAGGTCACTGTCTGACTTTATCTGTTAAGATGTTGTGTTGAATAGAAATGCATGTACAAATGGCCCTGTCATTGTTTTGTACTGTGTAAGATTTTCAATAAAAGAAAGCAATCCAGGGAATAAATTGAGATCAGTGATGTCATTTCCGGTCACGAGAGAGTGATAAAACAGAAAGGATTTAAATAGATTTGTTCTCAGGAAATACATGATTATTCTTTAACATATTATAGTTAAATATGTTTACTATTTTGGAGGGATAACTTAATTAAGGTCTTTTTTACAAAATAAAATCGAGGGTGACCCGGAAGTATATCCAGCTGCGCGTGCGCAATGAGCTGCTGGTAGGGATCGGGTAGCATTAGCAGCATTAGCTTAGCTTGTGTGTGGAGTCATTGTAGAGAGGCTGATAATCTGGGAGTGTTTGCAGTGAGAATGTCTTCAGTCCAGCTTCAAGGAGAGTTTATCACCGAGCAGTTAACTCCTGCTGAAGAAACATTCACGGAGTTTAAAGGGAGTTTGGTCAATTCGGAGGAAAAGATGGACGATCAACAAATACTGCTGGATTTCACCAGGATCCCCCAGATCATCTTACACCGGATAGGTAGGAAACACCTGATAGAAACGATTCCCTGATGATGCACGCTGTGGATTTTAGCCTCATCTGATTGGAAAACTGCTTAGAGGAGATCAACATGCTAAGATAAAGCTACCTTCCGGTGTGATTTACTGGTTGTTGCAGCTGGAAACGGCTGAACTGGTTTTAGCTGCACCACGTGTACAAGGGAGTGAAATGTAATAATTTAGGAGAGAATTTAATCTGATAAAAATCTAAATCACGTACATGTAAAAGCAGAAACGTTTTTATTCTTTTACTTTGAGTTTAAATCCCAGAGTTAGTAGCTACTGCTGCAAAGTGTGAATCACACACAACTGTGCTTTAAGGCTGCAACTAATGATTATTTTGCTAATCGATTAATCAATTAAAAACCAGAAAGCAAAAGGTTCCTTTAAGAAGTACTTTTGTGAAATTAAAGCAGATGAAAGTCAAACTTTTCCACTTGAGGAGTTCTGGATAGAACGTAATGACATTTTTTTTTTAAATCTTAAATGAAAAGTGGTTACATGCTTTTTTTTTTTTTTTTTTATTTTTTTATTATCAATTTTAGTAACATTGCAGCTCAAGGTGAGTTCCTCTGTCAGTGAAAGAAATATTTTAGAGTGTCTACACTTTAGTTAACAATCGATTACTTAATTAGTTGACGATTATTTCAATAATTGTTTAATCATGATTAATTCACTAAATTCTTCCAGACCTGCTGTGGTTTTATATCCAAGCAGAAAGGATGAGAAAAGTTTCTAACCGCAGCATAAAGGTTGGAAATCAGCTTCTCCTCTAGAACCGACTGTTTATGCAGCCTGTAGAACAAAAGGCAGAAATAGAGAAACAATCAGATTACATTGTGACAAACGGGGTCTATAACACAGATGATAGGAGAGATTAGGTGGCTGCATTGTTGCCCCATTAAAACAAACAAAAGTAAACAAACAGGTCAGAATAAATTTCCTCATTTCTGGCCTCAGATCTATTAAACATGTGTTTGATGTTTGTGAATAATAGGGCTAGGTATTTTCGCCAAAGTCCTGAATCGATTAGATTTCAATTCATACAGTTGTAAATCGATTAATTTCGATTCAATCTGTTTTTACAATAATAAAAGTGGTTCAGCTGTTTCAAAATGCTCATGTATTTTATTTTTTCCTGTCACATTAAACACCAAGTGCAAACTTGTAAATCATACAGTTTAAACTTGAGATGTGAACAAAACTGTCTCATGTGCAAACTTGTTTGTGAAAAAGTGAAGCCTCACTCGAGTGAGCAGACGTGACACAGCAGGGACAGCTGACGTATGAGCTGCATGTAGGGCTACAACTAACGATTATTTTAAAAATCTATGAATCGGCCGATTATTTTTTCGATTAATTGATGAATCGGATAAAAAATATTTTTTATACTAACCTCTTTATTCCAAAATAAACATTTTAGACAGAACAAACAAGCACACAAGTACAGGTTTCTCATTAACTGTACTGGTGCAATATGAAAAATAAATGTTTGTGTTAAAACTACGCAAACTTACATGAGAAATGTAGCTGTACATCCACAAAATATAGGCTACTTTGTTTCATAAAGCGCAAAAAAGACAGGTATTTTTGTTTTTAAAAGCCCCTAAGACAGTGGTGTTTCCGTGCCATGTTCATTTGTTTTTACAAAAGTTGCATGTTACGACTTTTTTCACTTTACAAAGCGCAGGCTATTTTAATTATTGTGATCAATTTGCGCCGTCAATCCCGGCGCATGCGCGCATCATTTGCAGTCTGGACGCTGAGGGTAAACATCCTGCGGCTCTGACTGCAGCGCTGAGAGGGACTCCTGCGGGAGAACAGGGTTGGGACGGGGGAGGCGCCCCACGGCAATGACGATGGCGGCGGATGACGCATTAATCGCGCGACACAACTAATTGATGATGAAATTCGTTGTCAACGCTTTTAAAAGTCGATTTCTATCGATTTTATCGATTCGTTGTTGCAGCCCTAGGTGCATGAGCTGCATTATCTTTACTGCACAAACCATATTTACAGCCTTGTCTGTAACATCTACAGAGTGTTTGCTCGTCAACCCCCATTTTTTAATGTCTATATTTGCAGCTGTCTGGCTTGAAGTCATCTTGAGTGCATCTTTCCTGCTCATTTGATTGTGAACGTCATACGCGTCACTATAAAACTAATCGATCTCATTCCCTAGACATCAATTTTGCAAAAATGTAAAGGAAACGATCCAAAATCGATTATATCGATTTTTTTTTTTTTAACCCAGCCCTAGTGAATAATGTGAAATATTGTGGGAAGCTGAAGTGTGATCAAAAACCTCATTGTGGCTGTTATGACACTGCCATGGTCTGTAACCATGTTCATAAAGTTACCTGTGATATCATATGCCCATCTGTTTCTTATTGGAGCCAAATTATTATATTTGCATCCAGAAAAAAACTTTCAATTAGTAATGTTTTTAAATTCCCAGGCAGTTGAAAATACTTTGACTGGCGCTCATCTTTGTATTTCTTCTTTAATTTCCCCCAGATGCGCATTATTTTCCTCTCAGAAGACTCTTAATTCCTACAACACAGTCTCCCATTCAGCCATGTTACTACTGTTGCTTGCTTAGCTCAAATCAAACGGAAGAAAGCCGTACTCCTTCACAGCTGAAGAATGTGCATATATATGTATGTGTGTGTGTGTCTGTGTATATGTACACTGCTCAAAAAAATTAAAGGAACACTTTGAAAACACATCAGATCTCAATGGGGCAAAAATCAAGCTGTTTATTTATACTGATATGGACTGGGTGATGTGTTAGGAACAAAAGGATGCCACATCATTTGATTGAAATGAAAATGATCAACCTACAGAGGGCTGAATTCAAAGACACCCCAAAAATTACAGTGAAAAAATGATGCGGCAGGCTAGTCCATTTTGCTGAAATTTCGTTGCAGCAACTCAAAACGGTTTTCATTAAGTTTTATGGCCCCCACGTGCATGCCTGAAAATGTTATGGCATGCTCCTAATGAGACGACGGACGGCGTCCTGGGGTATCTCATCCCATATCTGGACCAGGGCATCACTGAGCTCCTGGACAGTCTGAGGTACAACCTGGCAGCGTCGGATTGATTTAGGTCAGGCGAGCTTGGGGGCCAATCATTGTTATCAATTCCTTCATCCTCCAGGAACTGCCTGCATACTTTCGCCACATGAGGCCAGGCATTGTCATGCACCAGGAGGAACCCAGAACCCACTGCACCAGCATAGGGTCTGGCAATGGGTGCAAGGATTTTATACCAAACCGGTCATGCTGAACGATGTTACAGACAGCATGTTCTCCACGGCTTCTCCAGACCCTTTCACTTCTGTCATTGTTGCTCAGGGTAAACCTGCTCTCATCTGTGAAAAGCACAGGGTGCTGGTGACAGACATGTCAATTCCAGTGTTCTGTGGCAAATGCCAATCGAGGTCCATGGTGCTAGACGGTGAGCACAGGGCCCACTAGAAGACGTCGGGCCCTGTGCTCGCCGCCCTGCCAAAGATAAATGCATGCATGCATTATCACGTCATTTCCATTAAATCAATGTAAACAGGTCTTAAAACAATATTATCGTTTATCGCAATAATTTTTGAGACAATTAATTTCTTTTTGAAAAATGTGTTATCGTGACAAACGACAGAAGGGAATACGTCTGGAATAACATACCCGTAAAACTAGATAAAGGCCCATGAGGTAAAGTTATGTGACATATAATTTTAACTTAAATTAATTAGGCTACAGCTGAAGCCATTGCCATGTTTACAATCAGTAGAGCGGCTGACCTTATCTCGCATTAATTAATAAATTGCTTAAAACTTACAAAGCAGCACTTAAAATCCGAAAAACAATTTTACTAACCTCAAAGTTCTTCATCAAGGAACATGCATCTTCTCCTAGATGATTAATAAGACATCAAATGATGACCTCTCGTTTTTGCTGAATGGATACCCCACCCTGCTGAACAGAATTTTTTTAAATAACTAAAAGAAATGTAAAAATTTCAATCAAATCAAGATTAAATATTTTAAACATTGGCAGAATAGAATAGCTAGTATTTTCGGAGGGATGCTAAGTAGATGCTAGTAGCAAGAATAAAAACAAAACAAACTCAGTCATGGCTCAGAAAAACAGACAGATGCAGACATAATGCTAGGATAGTTCTTTTTTTTTTATAAAAAAATGTCATTACCAAAGCCTTGCTCAAACTACAGGAGTTTTAAAATCCTAACCGATTTTGAAATCTGGTTGCAGCACACACTAAAGGAGAATCTTTGCAGATTTTCCTACCTCAAATCTTAAACATGCTCTCACTACAAGATTTGAAAATTGTGGTGATTTTCTTAAGATTATCTTGCCAGATTTAACACCTCACGTGATGCGATCTCATGGAGAAGCGCATGTAAACAAAATGGATACTGTGTCGCTGCAACTTGCTGAAATAATATTTATCCTTTGTAGCAATAAAAAACAAAAGAAAATCCAACAAGTGTAGACGAGAAAGGGGTTGTCTGATCTTCAGCGAGATCTAGAGGTATGATTAACTGTTTTGAAATGTTTGCAGTGGTATGCTCGCAAGGCTAGATTGCAGATTACAGTAGTTTGGCAACATGTTAGCACTAGTTTATAGCGCTAACGTACTGCAGTGTAGAACTGTGTTTTAGTAAAATTGAAAGGTAAATTAATTCCAACATAGAAGCAGGAAATGTAGCAACCTTATGCATCAGGTCTGGTCTCAAGAAATGTTGCTATACAAGTGGTTATCAGCAAGTACCGTTAATTTCTATCTCCTTTGTCCACCTAACCTGTATAGCGGCTTTTGCGGTTGATATTTTCAAAATGTATGTCACTTAGTAAACCTGTCTCTCATTGGCTATATTGAAAGTACTGACATAATCATAGCAGTTACATGCTGATTTATAATCCTAGATATTGTTAGGTTTATTCTTTATACATCATGTGCATTGTTATTCTGTTAGCCAGATTAGACAGAGTAATATTTGTTGGGATTGGTTGGGGTTGATCATTTTTTTTAGGCCATCTGTAAGGAATGGTTAAGTTCTGTCAAAGTGAAATACTGTTAGCGGATGAACACATTAAGACACAGTGCCAATTCCAATGGAATTATGTCTTCAAAAAAGATCATGTAGAATATCTGGCGGTACCCCGATAGAAAATGAAAATAACTTAATTTTACTGGTTATGGGACGACCTTTCTTCACACCATAACAGTGTACCAGAGTATGATTTCCTTTAGACATTGAACATGTAAATTATAGTTCTCTTCTGTTCTTGGTTGAAAAGCTCCCTATCACACTTCCTTTTGCTGATAGTCCGAATGGTGTCCAATACAAAACCTACAGATGTAATGTCCAGAAAAGTTTTCTGCAAGCCCACCCAAAGAAGGAGCACCAAGATTGTCAGCGCCATTGATATTTCAACTAACCTGAGGCAAAAATAATTCCTTCCTTCTCATATATTGTGAGATCTTTCAAAAGAGGCTCCAGAACAGCTTCATAGCCAATTCTTTTTTTTTTTTTTTACATCTTTTACCTTACAAGGGAGAGCCAAATAAATGGATGTTAGCTGTGACAAGCTAAAAGCTAAGCCACTAAAAGGCAGAGAGTGCATAACATTAGAGATTGAACTAACAGATTCTTCAGAGTGGGAGAATAGAGACAGAATAATGAAATAGGGCTCCCTATGTCCTCCAGAAGTCTAAGCCTATAGCAGCATAACTATAGAGATAGCTCAGGATAACCTGAGCCACTCTAACTATAAGCTTTATCAAAAAGGAAAGTTTTAAGCCTAGCCTTAAAAGTAGACAGGGTGTCTGCCTCACAGAAATCTGAAGGGTTTTAACTACAGTTTGTGGACTTCCTGATAGTAAAGAATTACAATAGTCCAGCCTTGAAGTAACAAATGCATGGACTAGTTTCTCAGCATCACTCCTGGACAGGATATTTCTAATTTTTGCAATGGTCTCGAGATGAAAGAAGGAAATTCTAGAAACCTCTTTGATATGGGATTTAAATGACAGGTCCTGATAAAAAACAACACCAAGATTGTTTCCTTTATTATCTGAAATCAATTTAATCCTATCCGAATGAAGTGACTGACTAATCAGCTTCTTTTTCAAAGACTCTGGTCCAAAGACTATAACTTCTGTTTTGTCCGCATTCAGGAGCAGAAAATAAACAACTGAAAATCTTCCAGCGCTGTGAGCTTTTTTATAACTGTTCTCACTTCATTTTATGGTGCAAACAATTTTTACAGAAAAAACAGCCCTGTTGCCCTGCTAATTGCTACATTTCAACAAAAATTAGGAAGCTGTTCCAGATGGGTCTTATCATTCAAGCCTGTTTTTCGCTATTGCTATAATGCTTCTTTTTAATCTGATAGAAGACAGAACCTTCTTTAGAAAGTCATGTAAAATCTGCTCAGCCTCTGACACATTCATCCGAGATGTGTCTTTTCCTCGCCAAAGTGAACAGGAAGCACTGCTGAGGCTAGAATGTCGCATTACATCCTCATTTGAAAGCGAGTCACTGTGGTGTCGGATGTAAATACTTTACTTCTTTTAATAATTATTTGTGAGGAAACAAATTTAGGCCAGAATGAACTTCATACCTTAAGGTTGCTTGATATTATCCACTAGCTCCTCAAACTCAAGGACAGAGTTTCGTGCTTTTATGTGAAGTGTTCTTTATTTACCTGCTAATAGGAAGTCTTCCTGCTGTGTTTGTCTTTCAGATCACCTTCAGAATTATGTTGGAAAAGAAGAGGATTTCTCTGACCAGCAGCTATATGAACAGGAGATGCATTCCAGTTTGGACCAAGAGAAACCAGAAGCTCTGCAGATAAAAGAAGAGCAGAAAGAACCAGAACCTCCCTGGACAAAAGAGGAAACCACGGAGCTCCCCATAAGTGAGCATGAAGAGCAGCTTGTTCTAAAGCAGGAGCCTGTTAATAGTGTCAAGAAACCTTTTTGTATGACCTGTGGAAAAAGCTTCACTCTGAAATCTAGTCTTAATAGACATATCAGAACTCACACAGGTGAGAAACCATTCTCATGTTTGATTTGTGGCAAAGGTTTTAATGTAAAAGGTTATTTGATTGACCACATGAAAACTCACACATGTGAAAAGCGTTTAAAATGTCTGCCCTGTGGAAAAACCTTCACAAGGAAATCTTATCTCAAGGAACACATTAGAACTCACACAAGTAAGAAGGCTCAAAAATGTCTATCCTGTGGAAAAAGTTTCAGCTTTAAATCTGCCCTTTACAAACACATCAGAATTCATAAAGTAGCGAAGCCTTTGAAATGTCTGTCCTGTGGGAAAAACTTCCCCTGTAAATCTGCCCTTGATAGACACGTCAGAATTCACACAGGTGAGAAGCCTTTCTCCTGTACGATTTGTGGCAAAACCTTTACTCAAAAAGGTTATTTGACTTACCACATGGGAAGTCACACAGATGAGAAGCGTTTTAAATGTCTGTCCTGTGGAAAAAGCTTCCCCTGTAAATCTGGCCTTAATGCACACACCAGAATGCACACAGGTGAGAAGCCGTACTTATGCACGATTTGTGGCAAAAGTTATACTCTTAAAGGTCATTTGCATGACCATATGAGAACTCACACGGGTGAGAAGCCTTTCGAATGTCTGTCCTGTGGAAAAACATTCACAAGGAAATCTTATCTTACCGCACACATCAGAATTCACACAGGTGAAAAGCCTTTCTCTTGCACAATTTGTGGCAAAACCTTTACCCATAAAGGTAACTTGACTGACCACATGAAGCATCACACAGGTGAGAAGCCTTTCAAATGTCCATCCTGTAGAAAAAGCTTCACCTGTAAATCTGCCCTTAAAAAACACATTAGAATTCATACAGGTGAGAAGCCTTTCTTATGTACGATTTGTGGCAAAAGTTTTACTGCAGAACGGTATATGACTGACCACATGAGAAGTCACACAGGTGAGAAGCCTTTCGAGTGTCTGTCCTGTGGAAAAAGCTTCACTTATAAATCTGCCCTTAATAGACACAGCAAAATTCACCCAGGTGAAAAGCCGATTTTATGTAAGATTTGTGGAAAAACTTTAACTCGAAAAGGTCATTTCAATTGTCAAATGACAACTAACTCAGAAAGGCCTTTTCTTGAATGACCTGTGGTAGTTCTTTAATTTTTCATCCATGAAACATAAGACTATCTAAAAAGAAGGAGCTTTAAAGTTTCTAAAATAAGTTTCAAAATATTATTTTGTAAATATTATTTTTATTTTACTGCTGTGTAAACAAAAAAGAGATTTAAAATTCCACCTGGATTGTTGGACTAATGGAATTCGACAACCACATGCAGCCAGTTTTACTTGCACCCCTACTGGCTGGCATCATTGGAAACTATAGTGGGTTTTACCTTTCCAACAAGGGGTTGGAGGTTTTTGTCTGACTATTTCTGAAGAAGCAATTTGCTTGATTAACACATTGGGTGTGCTAAATCGGCACATTAGGCTCCAGATAAGACCGATCGCCTTATCCATGGCTACAATGTCCATTTCATCAATCTTTGCAGTGTTATTTCTTCTCTCGCCAATATATGACATGACTATGACAATATATCACAATGGTACAGAAAAGAAAATGAATGATTTGAAATGATATTGCAAGACCAAGATCTTCAGAAAATAGCTGGCTTTTTGGTGCGAAAGATGAGGAATTAACTCGGAGACAAATTATGTACTCTCTCTATTTAGAGCATTTTACATTACATCTTTGCTATTTTAAAGTTGTACGGAAACATGTATATAAATGTACTCTTTATCAGACCCAAAATTTTGAAAATTTCTATAAGAAGAAAAAAATCCTGCCTTAAAATCTGTTTTTTTTTTTTTTTTTCTCGTTATCTTATGCAGCTAATTAGTTATACGTCAGTTTGTACACCTAAATTCAGCCAATCATATATCAACAGTCATATGTCAATAAATTTTTTTCCGACATACCATCTTGATTCATATGTCACAGCAAATATACTTAACGGCTGAATTAAGAATCACTTACTTTCCCATTGAGTTCCGTCCCAATGTTCACGGGGATGGACGTCTGTGTCTTCGGCAGGCGTAGAGCTAACAGAACTGGCAGCGCTGCGAGGCAAGGGCTCCAACACGTACGGCTGTAAGCCTTCTACACCAAACCAAGCTTCTGCCGCCCTGGTGTCCTCTTCCACAACATCTTTGTCCCCGCTTTCCTCCTATAAATAAAAAAAACGTATGATGGAGGAGACTCATCCACGACCTCCAACACTAAACTCTCCTCCTCATGCATGTTTCCGTTGTCCATAGACGTTCCTTGACAGTGTCGTTGCTAAGTGCTACTCGGTCCTAATGTAATTTCCCTTTTTGAACCTACTAGCGCTAAGTTGCTAACTGGTTAGCAAGATATCCTCCGAGAAACCGGCCACAATCAAACTTGCTTGTGAACCTTCGGCTTCAACATTCCCATGCACCACTCAGGAGAATTCAGAAATACAACAGTTGGAACAGCCGTTTCCCAACGACTTTAAAAAAAGAGGGCACATGCAGTTGCTTCCAAAAGTATTCAACCCCCTTGAACTTGTTGACCTTTTGCCCCATTTTAGGCTTTAAACATAAAAATATAAAATTGTAATTCTTTGTAAAGAATCAAACCCCTATGAGATGATGAACAGGTCCTAGCCATTAGGAAGTTTTAAAAAAAATCCGTCTTCACCTTCTGCCAGGTGATACCTAAATGGAATACAGTGATTCATGACAATTCAACAATAAACTAGTTTTCCATGTAATGTTATCAGGCTTACAAGCAGTTTTGATATGGTTTAGTTTTACTGAATATGTATTCCTAATATCTTTAAAAACGTTCTTTCATCGTCAAAATGACCATTTCAAACAAATTGACATTATTTACATCTAGAAGAAACATACTGGATGTCTAGAAATTAATTTTAGATCTCCATATTCCCATTGTTACTGGTCAGCATTTTTATTATTTTTACACTGATGAAATGTATTTCAGATATCATAAATACATATGCAGTCAAGATGATAAATGTCAAAATGGGCATTTAAAATGTGCAAACATTTCTAGATATATAGAACTTAATTCTTACTAGTATAATTTTTTTTTTAATACTTTCCGAAATTCAACTTCTGCTGCAAATATGTTATTGAGAAAATCTATTATAACAGTTCTGTCTAGGAGTGTGATTTTGATCAGAAAGAATTTTATTTAAGTGATCTACAAATGGAACAACAGAGAGGAGATGAATGTTAAGATGACCTGCCATAGGGGACTGCATAAAAACCTAGGTATTAACTTGAGCACCAATCTTCTCCTTCACCATTTTCCTCTCCTTTGTAGTTGTAGTGCTATTTCCCTCTTTTAAAAATTTGTTTTTTTCTTTCATTTCTTTGTTGAACCTGCTTATTGAAACAGTCCCAGTATCTTGTAATAAGAACAAAGTGATCTGATTTTCAATTCACTTTATTGATATTGTTGACATTATGCATGTTTATTGTGCTCTCATTTGTCATTTAATTTTTATTTTTTTTATTGGTCTGCTGTATGTCACATAAATTGTTTGCTGCCTGATTTAGAGCACCTGTGTAATAATAAAAGGTGTGCTGTTAGAGAAATCTCAACTACACCAAAAGTCATACATGAGTTTTGTGTTTTATATCCGCTGTGTTCGAAAACGTTACTCTGATAACAGATATGCTGTGTATAATGGTAAATTTTAATAAAACACAAACTTGTGAAAAACTTTTTATATGCAGAAAGATTTCTTTGACTAGACTTTATGTAGAAAAAAAATATTTGAAACATCTGTGCCATAATCACAGGTCCACCTGCCACACTGTCCACTAAAACCGTGGAACAAATATGCTTCAATAGATTCAGTACAAATTTGCTGCAGTCATTATCAAGATGTGGTTTTATACAGTTTAAGGCTTTATCAAGATTTTCAAATGGATTTTTCATGATGTTTTGCAAATAAAAAAAAACAAGGCTTTAAAGGGATTTTTGTTCGGTTTGATCACCTATAAATCAGAGATTGACTTAAAAAAGATAGTTTAATGTTTGTTTGTTTTTAATTACATTTCCACCGTATTAATTGGAGCTACACCTAATTAATGTAATTTCAGGAGGGAAGTACTGCAAAACCCATCCGGCCTCTTCTTGCTATTTTTATTCAAGAAAAGTTTTTGTTTACAACAGAAACTATTGTCTACTTTGTACAGATGTTTTTTTTACTGCATTTTCTGTGGTTAATGTTTACGATTAATGTAATTGCTACTAGATTAACGTACTGAGCAAAATATTAAAACCTCTTGGATTCTAAAAAATTGTTCTACTTTTAGGCTAGGCTTAAAACTTTCCTTTTTGATAAAGCTTATAGTTAAAAACAGTGATGTTTGCTTAGATGCTGGTTGAGTAGAGAAGTAAGAGATACAGGGAACGGCGTGATCAAGTGGGATAAGAATTGTTCAAGACCAGATCATTATAGGCCGGTTGGTCCTACAACATGCTGGAGTAGAATCACGGAGAAAATGGTTCATGAAAGACAAACGTTTTTATTGAATCCAATGGATATTTATCTAAGCATCAAAGTGGTTTTAGGAGAGGAAGGAACACTATGGGCCCTGCAATATGTTAACAGCATGAGGTAATGAAAGCTAAAGTTCATAAAAAAAGTGTTTAGGCATTCTTTCTAGATAGAGAAAAGGCTCATGATATGATGTGGAAAGAAGGTTTAATGATTAAACTGTGGAAAATAGAATCTATACTGTTTAGATAACTTTTAACAGAGCAAGTAATACAGGGAAGAGTTGGGAAGATTATTCAGGGAAATATGGTTTAGAAAATGGGACTCCAAGAAAGAATAATATGTTCTTTATTATTTTTAGTTTTAACGGTGAGAAGCCTTTTTCCTGTACGATTTGTAACAAGAATTTTGATGTAAAAAGTAGTTTGAATAAATGCATGAGGTGAGAAGCCTTTTGTATGTCTGTCCTGATGAAAACGCTTCACTCAGAAATCTAATCTTGATGCACACATCAATCACATATATTTGTGACAAAGGTTTTAAACAAGAAGGTAATTTGGGACTCAATTACATTTATTCATGCATGATGTGGATTGATTTATATATTTTTTTAAAAGATTTGTTTAATAAAAGTCCCAGCAATTAGACACCACAGGAATGAACAGTAAAAGGCGTTTTCCATGTTTGACTGGTGATAAAATGTCCATCTAGAAACTCCTTCACTTCATTACATGAGAAACACACGGGTTAATGGTCCTTTTTCAGCTAAGTTTTGAGAAAGCCATTAATTAACAGCTCTGTTTACATAGAAACTAGAACACATAAAGGGTTATATTGTTAAACTGCTAAATATTCAGGTCCTAGGTGAATATGTGGATCTGAACATTTGAAAGTTAATTAGTTTAGGGCTGAGTAAATTTGATTTAAATGGCCAAAAAGTGAACATTGCCCTAACTAAAAAAAAAAAAAAGACGTTTACATTCACAATTTCTTACTTATTCTGTCATGAAGGTAATAAACATAATAAAGTGCAACAACAACTTTTGGTTACAGTTCAATTTAAATTCCGTTTATTTATATAGCGCCAATTCAAAACACATGTCATCTCAAGGCACTTTACATCTCACCAGATCATACAGTCCAATTTATTTAAAGTTTCCTATCTAAGAAAAACCACTTGATTGCATCGACTCATTGACTCAAATACAATCCCTCACACTAAGCATGCTTGTAGCGACAGTGGAGAGGAAAAACTCCCTTTTAACAGGAAGAAACCTCCAGCAGAACCAGGCTCAGTGTGAGCGGCCAACTGCCGAGGCCGATACAAAAAGCAACTTTAAAAGGCAGCCATAGCCAGGCAGACGAGCTCCGAGCCAGCTCCCATGTCAGAGGATGAAGGAAGCACATCCTGCAAAAAACACAGGGCCGGATCTATCAAAGGTTTGCGCGTATAAAAACGTGAGCTATTTCACTGCGCACGCTAAAAAATGTACAAACTGATCTATCAACAGCGTGCTAAAAGGATTTGGTCTTTAAAACGTGCTAAATAGCGCCTCTTATCCATTTAGTACTTTTTCTGCAATGAATATGCAAGATGGGGCGTTTACACGCAAAAGTGCGTCTTGTGGGAGGAGAACATGTAAATATATTAATTTAACACTCGCAAAGTGATTTATCAAACCTGAAAGCAATTTTGCTAACGGTATCTGACTCTATATTTAACACGTTTCAAAAGAAGGTGCAAATGGTCTGTATGCGTAATTGCGCACACATGGCAGCGGTTATTGTCGCAAGAAGGAGACATCGAAATGAAGCAAGGAGACGCAGAGAACGCATTTTTTCACTCCGTGTGAATATTTTTGGAATGAACGAGGAAACGATCATCAAAACATATCGTTTATCCAGCATTGCCATTTTGGAGCTGTTGGGGGAACTCCGAATGGATTTGGAGCCAGCCACAAGGAGGACCCACGCAGTACCAGATCTCACAGAACTCCTTGCAACGTTGCACTTTTTTGCATCTGGGTCATTCCAGCGTATGGTTGCAGCGAGAGCTGGGATCTCCCAATCTCGTTTTTCAGAAGTGCTGTCCGACGTTCTAAATGCCATGTCGCCCTGACGCCCTACCGGAGAACCCCGACCCCCCCCCCCCCCTGCGCCTGTGGAGCAACATGCAAATGCTGCAGGGATGCGTACGCGCAGTAATCTCATCCACAGTCCCATTGTGAGCCATTTGGTATGTGCATTTTTCTACAGGCCAATACAAAACACCTGTTTTTTTTGTTGTTGTTTTTTTACTGCAGTGAAGTAGAAATTCAGCCACAGACCACCTTAGGGAATAAAGGTTGCCAAAGTTTTTTCTTAATATATATTTCTTTTTTTTTTTTGTTGGGTGTCACTGTAAGATTTAAATTTCTTAATGCACTAGTTTGTAGAAACTACAAACTACTTTGCCGCAAACCACAAAACGCGCAAAACCATCATTTAAATAGGGCGTCTCCAACAGTTTTGCACCTGCCACCAGTTACGCAATCACTCTTGTTAAATCACCCGCAAACCATGGTTCAGCCCCTCGCGCAAAATTCCAGTTTGCGAGCGCAAATT